GGATACTGTGAGGTGACTCAAACACATAAGGATCTTAGCTCAAGCTTTGAAGTTTCTGTAGAAAATAAATATCTGGATTTTTAATTTTCACTTAACTGATTTATGTATTTTGGCCTGCCAAGTATTTGGAACAGAGTTTCAGCTAGGAGGAAGCATCAGATAATAAATTGATCAAAAATAAATACTTTTTTTTAAAAAAAATGAAGCTAGTATCTGGTAATTGAGAAGCAATGCATTTTAACTGTAATAATGTGTCCGTTTATTGAAATTGTCCTTATGAAATTAATTGTTTGCAATAGGCGGGGACTGGGATGGACTGGAAATAATGTATACATTGAAGGTATCTCAGCTTGAAGGAACATGTCTAAATTATATATATATATTCTCTTTTTTAAACAGATCTATTTTTCTTGACTATTTAAAAATAATTATTTGTGTAGGTTCATTGTTTTTATAGGAAAAACTACAGATGCCTTTTCTGTTCATGATAGTAATTATTTTTGGATAGGAGGTGAAATGCATAAGGACAGTATTAAGAAAGAAAGAGGTATGGCTGAATAACTTTCCTTTTTTTTTCCTTTTGAAATACGATCCCAGTTGCTGCGCAGAATGGTGTACTGTCTCCTTTCTGTCACTCCATCTGGACTTTATTATTTTAAACAGGGTTGTGGAGTGTTGGCATTCACTGATCTACAAAGTTGCTACCAGAAAAGTGTCTTGCATCTTAAGATGACTCAAGAAATGTACATGAGCTGTAAATGCTGCTTAAGCAGAGGAAGTATTTATAACTAACAAAGCATTTGCCCATTAAATTATTTAAGTGTCCTAATAAAGGGAAGTGTCTGGATAACATTTCTTATTGTGTTTGTGGTTTGGTGGTTTGTTTGGGGTTTTTTTGGCAGTTTTCATGCTAGTAAGGTAACAGACTTACTCTGTCTTGTTGTCGATTGATTTTTCAGATTTTAGTTTCCAGCGTGTGCTAGGTCATTGCAAAATATGCTTAATAAATATGCATAATAAAAGTCACATAAACTAATAAATCAGTGGAGCTGCAGACTGCTGTAAATATATGTTAGGGAAGGACAGCTCTCTATGTGATGAGTTTCTAATACTTAGATAGTAGATATTTATGGAAAACTGCTGTTGGAAACTAGATACTGGGCCAGATACATATTCCTGTGACTCAGTATAGGGTTTCTGATATATCAACAAACTCTTGAGTACAGATGAAATATGCTCCAGCTTTGAAAGACTTCAAAAGAATGAAGAAAAAACTGCAATTTTGCTTAATATGTTATATGGGTAAGATTTCTTTATCTACCCCTGCTATTAAAGATGTTACCACATGATTTTGTATGCTCGTTGGACAACTGAACCCTGTTTTCCAACAGGGGATCCAGTGTTGGCAAAAAAACTGTAAGTACTGTAGTCGGAGGAAAAACTTAATTGCGATCAGAAATGTTTCATTCACTGGTTAACTTATGTGTGATGCAAGCCAAAAATGAGAACATTTGGGGGCATTATTACCAGAGATAGAAACATGTTCGCCTCACTCCAGTCAGCGCTTGTCAGACTGTTCTTGGAGTAATGTGATCAGTTCTGGTCCCCACAATTCAAGAACAATGTGGACAGAGTGGAGAGCATCCAAAGGAGAGCCTCAAAGATGACCAAAGGTCTGGAGAACTTGCCATATGAGGAAAGACTAAAAGTTAGGTCTCTTCTCCCTGGGGAAGTCTTGGGGGTACCTCATCACAGTTTTCCAGCACTTAAAGGGTATTTACAAAGAAGGCAAGAGCACTTAGGGAGTGGCACAAGAAGACACTTGGAGAAGCGAAGGAACATTGCGTACAAGTTGCATCAGGAAAGGTTTCATCTTGACATAAATTTTTTGCAGTGAGAATAGTCAATCACTGGAAAACAGCCTACCCTGGGGTGTGGTGGAGTCCCCATCACAGGAGTTTTTCAAGGCAATGGCTGGACAGGGATTACCCAGAGTACTGGGTAGTCTCATCTCAACTCCCTTTCCCATGTATGGTTGGGCCAGATGAACTTTCAAGGTCACTTCCAAGCTGAGCTGTTCTGTGATTCTGTGCTTCTATGATTTTTACTCAAGACAGGGAGTGGCAGTAATTTTTGACACTTGCCCTATTCAAAATGGGATTTCTTCTGGAGCAAGCCCTTTCATTACCAGAGTAATCTCTGCTAATGTCACAGTAGGTGGTTGGGGGAACGCAAGAGAAAGAATTTATGCTTTGCATCACTGTAAATACATGTTGGATTGATGCTGAGGAGAGGATAAAAAAGGTAATTAACACCAGCAGTTCATGATAATCCAAGATGTGGTTTTGACTTCCTATCATCGTTTTTCAGTGATTTGGATTTTTTCTGTTATCTCACATAACAAGATAATGAAATTGCTGTTCTGTATGGTTAATTGCTGGAAAATCAAATGCTGACTTTTTTTTTTGGTTTGTTTTAACTTTGTCTAGGAGTGTTTTTTATAAGACGGCTTTGGTTGTTTGTCATACTTGTACTGAGTAAAGTTTTGCCTTGATGTCAATGGTGAATGTGAGCTTTAGAATCTAAACAGACCGTCATACCTCGTATGTTTGTGTGCAGCGTGTAGGTTCAAAATCTGTGAGTGTTTAAGTGGCCTTTAAAGTAGTTGG